CTGATATTACACTACCGATGGAGCAGCTACACAGTATTTAGTCTGCAGGAAGCTCACAGACACTTCAGCAGTTGGTGAAGTGTGTGGTGGTTTGTCCTAGCAGCAGGCCTGTTTAGGCTTTTCAGGGCAGACTGCGGAGGTTGGTGAAGGCCACAGAGGATACAGGGACCATCGCGCCTGCTTGTCTCCATCTGTAGCTGAAGCTGGTAATTATAGTTGGGAGAGGCGCCCGCAGCTTGATGCCATCTGCCAGCGGGACGGCAGAGCCAGGCTGAAGCGGGCACAAAGGCCCAGTGAAGTTCCCTTAGCTGCGGCCGACAGGAGGACCAACACCTGCCAGCGAGCCACTGGGTTTAAGCTGATCGGATGGGGCACAAGAAGAAGGAAAGTGAGTTCTGGTCAAAGATGGTGAAAGCAGTGGGTCAAAATCCATGACTGACATGCTGCTTTTGCACAATCATAACGCAAAACTTAGACAAAATGTGAAATTGGACTGCTGACTTTACAGGATGTACCTGCTTTGAAAAACTCAGGCAGTCATACCATCTTGTGGCTGAATGCATGTAGTGCAACTAAACAACAGCACAAGAAGGACTTAAAAGCTAGCATACCGAACACATGCTCACAACTCTAATTTAACATGGAAGTGAGCATAGTGACAGGAAGACAGCTGTGCTCCTGTCTCTCTCTTTCATACATGTTGGCACAGCACAGGGCTCTGCAGTCTGCTCTTGCATGGCCATGCCCTACCCCTGCTCTTGCCCGTCCTGCGTGTCACCAGAGCTCATGTGTGAACCGCTGGTGAGCGTGGACACAGATGGTGCGGGGGGAGCAGCGCATGAATATATGATGCTGGAGGGTGAAGTGTGGCGGGTCGAGGCAGATGCCCGCTGGCCCCGTGAGAGCCCCTCTGCCCGGTCAGCCACAGCCTTTCGGCTTCCCACCAGATGCTGCTGCAGAACCCCAGAGAAACCTCTCACACTCTCCAAAAGATGGACGTCAACGTGTTTGATGGAGTATTTAAGATGGAAGGAAAACTGTGGAACTACTTGTGAGACTTTACAGAGACTCAAATGTGCGAAGACCCATTTAGGCTACATCAAGGAGTAACTACTAAAAAGTTCTAATAATCATCTGATTGGAACAGTGGCATCCCCACCACAGTTATAACCTGATATTGGTGAACTTTATATAACTTCATGTAAACTATATCAAATGTTTTATATCAGCTGATATAGATTTTTGACAAAAAATGCTGACATTGTGATATTTTCCCCGCTGCAATATATATTGTGATATTTCACCACATGACTTGGCTCTATTTGGCATTACTTTAGATTGATAGGGATGATTTGTATAGGAGTGAAATATAAATATATGTAATTTATTATATACATATAATAAACAAACTGCAGTCATAAATAAACACAATGGAGAAAATGTTAAAGTTGAAATAAACAGTGATTTTTGGTCTTGGGGAGTGTCTAAAAGTATTCAGAGACAACAATTTAGTAATGAAATGTAAAAGAGCATTGCATAATCTTCTTTAAATAAATAATTCCTTAAAATGTATTTTTCAAAACTTTTTTATGCTATTTATGTTCTCTTAAGGGCTGCACAGTGTCACAGTGGGTAGCACGTTTGCCTCACAGCAAGAAGGTCGCTGGTTCGAGCCTCGGCTGGGTCAGTTGGCGTTTCTGTGCGGAGTTTGCTTGTTCTCCGTGTTCACGTGGGTTTCCTCCGGGTGCTCCTGTTTCCCCCAACAAGTCCAAAGGTGAATTGGGTAGGCTAAATTGTTCATATTGTATGTATGTGAATGTGTGTGTATGGATGTTTCCCAGTGATGGGTTGCAGCTGGAAGGGCATCCGCTGCGTAAAACATATACGCTGGATAAGTTGGTGGTTCATTCCGCTGTGGCGACCCCAGATTAATAAAGTAACTAAGCCGAAAGAAAATGAATGAATGTTCTCTTAAAATACTTTAAACTCCTTAAATGTTCACATATAGGCCTTAAAAACACATGGACATTTTTGACTTTCCTTATAATGGTTAAATTCTGCAGAGTCTCCACAATTCTCATGTGTTTTGGCCTGTGGATTGTTGTCTTCTATATTCATAACTCAACATTGAATATCCTGCGATGTGACTATTGCTGACACACACATTGTGAGATCAATGCTCAAAATATATATTGTGCAGCCCTATAGTTTCAGCCATATAAGTTACTGTGGGTTTTGCATATGCCTACTATTGTTATAATACTCTGAGAATGATACATTTAACCATACTGCTTTTTATATAGTTGAGCAAAAATCATTCAAAAACCATAAAGTAATAAATGCATTTATCTAACAAAACAAAGTAGTCTAATATTACTACACAATTTAGATTTTACAAAACTACATTATAAAAATAAAATAAATAATACATAATGATACATAATAAACAGAACTGTATGTTTTTATTTGTTACTGTGCTCCAATTGTATTAATATTTATTAAGTATTTCACTTCTTTACTATGTTTGTGTTTTTGGATAATTGCTATCCCTAATTAGACTAATAAATTAACATTTTAGACTTGTGTTTTTAGTAAGTACAATAAGTAATAGGCCTACTTGACTTTAACATGAAGTTGCTCTCCCTCAGGTTCAGTTCTTCATGGCTAAAGAAGCGGCTCCCTCTGTTGGTGAAAATAAATAAATGATTCTTCTAAAAAACAGTTGAAAATGTGTCGAAAATGTTGGTTGGGATTTTTGTATAATTAATTTTACTTTATATAATTGATAGCATAAATATACCAAATAATTGAAGTGTAATTAAAACGGGCTGTTTTAAATGTTGAAAGAAAACAATAACAGCAAATCGTGTACAGTCACCGCAAAACTAACTTACGCGTTTAACAAACAGTATTTCGGCCTTTAAAGAATAATGTCAAATGACGCAAAACACGTAAATTTTAGTAAAAAAAAGAAAATTGTGTTCTTACCTGTAGTATGCATAATTTACAGGAAACGGCAATTTTGTCCAGAAACTGATGTAAACAGCCGAGAACTTCAGTAACTAATCACCGACGCTGCAGTATGCAAATTAGGCTACCTGTAAATCAGCATTTAAACCATAAAGATAGGCAAGATACAACAGAATAACACTTTTAACGAGTTTAAAGCCCCTTGTAGTCATTCAATACTGATGAGAATCAGCATTGTAGATACTTGCCAATCCTGTCTTACCTTAATACATTTTTAAAAACATGCATCAAAGTTTTTAAGGTGCTAAAGAGTGGCCTACTACGTGATCACGAGGATGCGTCTTTTTGCGCCAAAGTAGGCCTCACATAGCTTATAGCTAACCTGTAAAAAAAGCACATCACAATAGCATAATTTTTGTAACACTGTATAACAATAATTCATATTTTTACAGTACTGCGATGGCTGGGTTTAGGGTTAATAAATAATTTTCGTGGGTAACCAGCTATACTAATAGAGAAGAGTCTAGATCCAGACCTGTTTTGACATTACTGTGACGTGTACTGTGTTGGGTTTAGAGTTGGGGTAGATGTTAATAAAATACAATAAATGGCAAAATTTTATATAAAATATGATTAATTCCAGTTAACTTCAGACCACAGCCGGATCTAATCTAGCAACAACCAGACATTTTATCACAGAGACTGGAAAAAAATGTAAACACCCCAAAAAAGCTAGTGACACCTGGAAAATAGTTTTGATATTTTAACTGTATTTTCTCATTGGATTATACAGAACTGTGCACACAACAACCAAGTGCTTTTATTAAAGGGCCACAGAATATGTATTATCCTTTTTGGTGCAGCCTACACTCCTGAGTGAAAAAAAACAAAAACAGCATATGCTGGTAAGGTATGTTTTGATGCTGGTCTTGCTGGTTTTGATGGTGGTCAGAAATTCTGGCTCAGATTTGGCTTAAATCTGGCACAGCAGACATTCATCTGGCACTGGCATACAGCATGTGGGCCAAACATGGTAGTTCTGTCTTTAAGGTGGCACACAATACTTGGGCCAGATGTAAAATGTAGTATTTGTCTCAGATGTTAGCAATTAATATGTGGGTCGATTCGAGAAAAAGCACGCTCATATCATAGCACGCCTAAAGTGCAATGCTTTATGGGTTTATCAATTTTATTGCAGTTGTGACACCAATAAAAATGGTCCAGTTCAGGCTCAGTTACAGGATATTGACTTGACTGAGACATGGCCCAGACATGGTTCATGTTTGGCCCTTGTTTGGAAGCCAGACTTGGTCCAGTCATATACTTTAATTCACTGCGGCATGTGGGCCAAGAAAAGCTGATTGTGTGGGCCAGAGATATTTTGCTATGTGGGAAGGCAGCAAGACCAGCACTGAGACCAGCACTGAAACCAGCAAGGTTATATTTTTCTATAACATATACATTTGGATGTACTAGTTTTTGGACCATTATCATAAGTTATTTTGTTAGATAAGCTCCAGATTTGGCTTCAGTACTGACTAATTTAATGTATATGTACAAATATAATACTGTATAGCTTCCAATTAAAATATGAGGTCACACTTTATTTTGATGGCCCGTTTGTTTAATTAAGTTACATTGCATTTACATGCCAACTAATTCTCTTTAGATTATAAGTAGACTGTTAGGTTGGGATCAGGGTTAGGGTTAGTGTCAGTTAACATGTACTTGCAAAGTGTCTCATAGTCAGTTAAATGTCTGTAGAAGGAGCAGTATCAACAGATACTAAGCAGACAGTCTACTACTACTCAAATGGACCATCAAAATAAAGTGTTACCAAATATGAATTTAAAAGATACATTTGTGAGGGGTGTACTTATATATGATGAGCACTGTAAATTATATAAACCTGCATTTTAAAACTATGACAACCAAAAATGTTACAGCTGTATATCTTTCTGCCTAAATATATATTTCCCCTTTTTTATACTGTGAAGCTTAAAGTTATGCAGAAGACACAGCCAACCAAGCACATTGCAACATAATAATATATTTAAACGTGAAAAATGTGGATACACATCACATACAGTTAGCTACAAAAAGTTTCAACACTTAAAAAAAGTTACAAAAACATAAATGAAAACGAAAGGCATATTTAGCTGAAGAAACAAGAACAAAAACTAGGTGTTCCCTAGTCCTCAACCAACTCTTAATATGCTAGACGCATGGGCTTAATAGTCACATTTGGCAAAATTTTCCCTAAAGTATTACTCCTCCCCCAAAATAAATTAATTAAATAAATACAACTCCATGAGTGACCTGAAAAGTAAGAAGTTAAGCCTCGCTGGCCTGATTACTCTGACCTAAATTGGCAGGCACATGGTAATGCAGGTTGGATCTTGATCTTCAACAGGTTGCGAATAAGACCCTCATTGGTTGGAAATACAAACAAAAGCCAACATATGCGTTACATCAACAAAATTATTCTTTAAATGACACCTTTCACGTTGTGCTTACAACATTAGCATACAATAATGATCCATTTGTGATAGCTTAGTGTTAAACTGATTGCTATGAGACCGGTTGTTTTCCATGGTAATAATAAGAATTCTTTCAGCAACACCGAAGCCTACAAGCTTTGAGAAGGCATCAGGTGACACGCCTGCTACGTCTGGTAATTGGGTAGATTTAAATGGAAGAACGGTCCTAAGTAGGAGCATATAGGAAGCATATAAAAGCTAGTGGCAGACTGAGGTGCAGAAAGCCAAACAACCTCAGCCTCCAGCATGCATATGCAATTAGATGAAGGAAATGGCTGAAATATTGAGGTTATGTGAATATGCTACAAGAAAAGTGTAAAAGCACTGCTAATAAATGTATTCCTCTCATACATGTACTGTAGTCAGTAGAATGTCTTTTGTTTTAACCCAGAATAAACAACATTGAAAATAGCTTAACACATGAAGTGAAGAAACACTAAAGAACGGAAAAGATACAAGACAGTTTGTAACAAAAAGACAGTTGTACAGTGTCATAAAGTAACTGTAGTGTTTGTTTGTCTGATTAACTCCAGTGGCTCGTCCAATCAGCTCCTCCGCTCCTCCAAAACACCTTTCAATGCCAGTCAAAACTTTCAGAAGTACAGTCTCCCGAGCAGATGAGCCGTGTTTTTCACCAGTGCCCCTGTATAAAGTGTGCTCAGGAGAAGCAGGTGCGACGGGATCACAGCTGATCCACTTTCAGACAAGCTGAGCGTCACCTCCTGAAGCTGGGATGGAGCTCTAGGTAGGAAGGGGGTCGTCGTCTCCTCGTTTACACTTGCATTTGCAGCAGAGCACGAACGGAGTGGCCAGCAAGAGGAAAGGGGAGGCCACTAACAACAGCAGACCAAAGCCAGCAAAGATCCCCACAACCTGATCCACAGAGATCAGAAAAATTAATAATAAAAAAAACAAAACAAACAAAGAAAATAACGTGCATGAATACTCTAAAATAACTACATTTATAAAATGATTATTCATCTGTGCAGATAATGGTCTGTGATGCTCAAACGAGATGACATTCTGCCACAAGGGGGCAGTAATAACTCTGTGATTGTATCTTGGTTTATCTTACAGGCTCAACTGGTGCGGATTTAGTTTTTGATTGAAAAAAAAAAATGTAAAAATAACTTTCTAAATGAAATGTGAAATCAACAAGCAAACATCGTGCCTTTGAGAGAAATAAAACTGAGATTAATTTTTTTTTTAATTGTGTCATAAACCCTGTAAAATTTGTCCTGTTTAATTGCATTATGTTCGATAGGGGAAAAATAACATGATTTACAGAAGACAAATATACAGGAATTTGTTATAAGCAAAAATCTGGTCAATGTATTTTGAAAGTCAGCTTGTTGAATTTAAGTTACATGTCAACTAATTCTCATTAGATTATAAGTAGACTGTTAGGTTGGGGTTAGGGTTCGTGTAAGTTAACATGTACTTTCAAAGTTTCTTATAGTCAGTTAAATGTCTGTTGAAGGAGCAGTATCAACAGATATTAAGCAGACAGTCAACTAATACTCAAATGGACCATAAAATAAAGTGTTACCAAAAATCTAGTATGTCATATTTAGAACAATGTCCATTTGATGACATATTGACATATCCTCCACTGAAGGATCACAGGGCTGCCACAAAATATAAATTGACTGCAATTTTGAAATCTTTATACACACATTGCACAATCCAGGGCTCCCACTGTTTAGTAGAGTTTAGAATTTAGTTTATTCAATTCACCTATGCCTCATGTCTTTGGACTGTGGGGGAAACCGGAGCACCCGGAGGAAACTCCACACAGAAATGCTAACTGGCTCAGCTGGGGCTCAAACCAGTGATCGTCTTGCTGTGAGGTAACAGTGCTAACCATGAACAAATTTAATTCAAGCACATTCAAAGACATACAGAATGTTTGTTTTTAAGTATTTTCCAGGCCTTGAATCCTTATGTATAAGTGTGTAATAAGAAAATCCATGAAAAAAAAAAGATCCATTTGAGTATTAGTAGACTGTCTGCTTAATATCTGTTGATACTGCTCCTTCAACAGACATTTAACTGACTATGAGAAACTTTTCAACTTACACGAACAACCCCAACCCCAACCCTAACCTCAACCAAACAGTTTAATGAGAATTAGTTGCAATGTAACTTATATTCAACAAACGGACCATCAAAATAAAGTGTGACCAAATATGCTGTAAATGCTCAAAATTTTGTACATTTCACTCAAACACATAACTATGAATTGTAAGTCAAGAGAAACAGAACTCTTAAACGGCTTCTTATCCATCCATTTACATCTGTATATATCTTGGTTTCTTCTTATACATCCATTCACAATGCACTTACTTTAAGTATCTGTAACATCCTGCACAGTAAAGCAAACCATTAGCAAGTGTAACAAAGCCACTTTTCTCCTTTCCACTACAATAAGATGCACCCTACTCTGATGCTTTTACAAACAAGGGTTATTTCAGGTGAACTGAGTGGGTCATGCTGTCTTTAGCACTTCAGAGCTACAGTTTAAAGGCATATGATCACATGACAAATACCTGTGTCCGATGCCAGATGACGGAGGCTCTGGAATGACCCAATTTGTTTCGACATGGTCCTTTATCATAGTGGATCAGTAAAAAGTCATCCTGAGGAGGAAGACATCTTAGCATCAATAACGATGAATATGAAGGGCATGGAAAAAATCAGCCCTCAAATATTGTTCAAATACAGTCCTGCTTCCTTAAACCAATTTTATATGAGAGTAAAACTTTTAATCAGTAAAATCATGATTGCGCTTTGTCCTGTTTTATATTTACAAAAATAATAGCTAACCTATAACGCATTTAACATCTGTAGGCCATTTTCAGATTTCAGGTCTGTTTTACTCCATATTATCAGCAACATCTCACGAGTGATAAATATATAAAAATTTTATCTTTTTTTTTTTTTAAATCAAGATATTTAAAATGGTAAATAAACACATAAACGCAAACAGTTTTTATATATTAATAAATATATTTATTCTGCATTAACATCATTGGAAAAATGGCATTCAATTAAATTATTTTGACTTTACAACTTATTATTACTCAAAACCTTTCACTTTTATGAAACCTATATATTTACATCAAAACAACAAATATTTCTCTGAAAAAATCTTATTTGCACAAGCTTTAAGATAAAAAAAACTTGTGCTTAATGTTTTATAGCACAATGATTCATCAATAGGTGTACATATACAGGTACAACTATAAATTTGACTCCTAAAAATGTGATAAATATGAAGGCTAACAATATTTTTTAACATGATATAGATAATCGCAATAGTCAATTCTACAGAAAAAAAAATTAAAGGTACCAAAATAATAAAAAAATACTGAAACATCAAATCTAATAAGTTATACATTTTAAAATACGTATATAAATAATTTTTAAATTTATAAATAATGAATGATGGTTATTTTAAGGGTCTTCTTTGCCTTATTAAAAATGACAATTTTTGAACATTTCATAGATGGGTTAGGATGTTATTAATGTGTTATGAAAGTTCAAAACATTATTTGTGCTCAATACTAACGTCCAGTGACTCCAGGCAGTACCAGCAGAAGGCATGCTTGCAGTTCTTGCACATCATCTGAGCACAGCCTTCATCCCTCTCAATGTACACTTTACATTTAGGACAGCGTTTGATCGGAGCCTCGTCCTCCTGACTCTTGAGGTTGGAGCTGCTGAAGCAGACACATGAACAGGAAACAAAAGGAATAGGTCACTTAGATTTCTTTGTTAAGTGTCCGATTCCTGTTTCTTGATTTTGTTTTCCTGAAAAAAAATCTTGCTAATAGACTTCCCTACACACAATGAACTCTGAGGTTAAAAAGTTGTTATGTTATGTTATTCAATGCTGCATTTATTTGATGAAAAAACAAAAACAGCAATTATATGACAGATCAATAGACTTTAAGATGCATTTTATTAAAACATAATTAATTATATTTTCCAATGTAGTTTATTCCTTTGATGGCAAAGCTCAATCCAATAGCCTGATATGATGCTCAGGAAACATTTATTTTCAAAACCAATGTTGAAAATCGTTGTGCTGCTTAATATTTTATATCCAAGTACTACTTTTTTTGCATTCTTAATAATAATAATAATAATAATAATAATTGCATTTATTATTATTCAATAAATATCTTCAATAAATATATTAGTTCAATTAAGTAGATCAGTACTATCAAAACAGAAATATTGCATGAAATAATATTGCATATAACATTATTATTGTCTTTACTGACACTTTTGATTTAATTTGTCTTCATCTCAAAAAATTGTTTATTGTTTATGTTTTTTCTAGTCTTCTAATCCAAACAAAAATGTCAGAAAAGTGTCTTTGTAAGACAAATACTCTGTAGGGGTGCATCAGTCAGTCGGAATTGACTGACAAGCAATAATCTGCATCAGTATTTGGTATCATGTTCAAAAACACTCGCTAATACTTTACCACAGATAATTTGATTACACATAGTTGCTTTTGCTTGGAGTGAATGAATCTGAAATAAAATTAGGTTTTAAAAATCTTAACAAAAAAAAAAAATTACCCTTCCGAATTTGTTAATAATAACTTGAGTATTGTGTTTTCTGTTTAACTGTTTTCTGTTGTACAAGTTATTCTAATACAACTTGTTAAGATGGAGAGAAGAAAGTTTTCATTTGTATTTCATTCAAAACTCGATTCATTTTCTTTGTTATTTAAAAAACTATAAAAGGTAGAACCATCAAAAAGTATCAGCTGTGAAATGTAGCATTGTTTAGCTGTAGAATATAGTATTTAGATGACGAATATAGTATTGTTAGAGTACATTTCTACATTGTATTAAAACTGTATTCTTTCCGTCGATAATATCTGTATATTACCTGTATTTAAGGAGGGGAGAGAAATTTGAACAAATAATTTTAACATTTAATACTCTTATACTATTTAAAAAAGTAGTAGTTAATAATACTTTTGCATACTGGAGTACACCCACAGAAAAAAGTTAATACTGTACGATTTGCTGCTGTTTAAAGTCCATTAGTGGCAGTACCCGTTTTCCCCAGGCAGGAAAGTGGTAATTGGCAGCATCTCCTGACAGGCCTGGCCAGTGTGACAGTCAGCCCTGCAGGCAGAGCAAAAGCGCAGACTGCACTCAGGGCACTGCACAGGCTGCGGCAGCTGCACCTCTGCTTCATTCAGCTGGCACACTGCTTGGCATGAGGATGATGGGCACCAGGTTCGACAGGGATCCAGAAGCACCTCTGCAAAGAATAATAAACAACATGTTTGAAATGATGACCTGTTTGGTCTGATCTGCAGATCACTGAGGTATTTATGTTCCAGTATGACATGAACAATCCCATTTCAAATTAAACTTCATATGGAGGTAAAACGGGTTAAAGAATGAACAAACACTTTATTTTCTGAAGTTGTGCTGCTTATTTATTGAGTAGCTTAAATAAGGCAATAAACCTCAATGAACACGTTTATATCTGTGCCAAAAAAGAGAGCCATTGAAATTGAAATTCCTAAACGCTGCTTGATTTTTTCAGTTCAAATCAAACAGATTTTTGATTCTGTTCTCTGTTCATAACATAGTTAAGACTTAAAATGCATTTGTTTTTGAGTCAGGGGAACTTAAAATACATGTTTTATTGTTTGAAAAGTTTTTTAAAATAATTTATTTAGGAGCTATGGATAGCTTATTTTACATTATTTTTTATTTAATTTTTTGTGCTTAATATTTCTCTCACCATTGTAATTTTAATATAGTGCATTTTATAATAAAGCATGATTTTACAAAAAAAATGGCACTCTTAACTTGCATGTTGTCGCCAAACAAAATTTATTAAAAACATGTAGCAAACACGGCACATTCCGAATGTTTGGAGTTTATGAATTTAATCATTAAGGCTGTTGTTGAAATATTTAGCAATATTAGGCACTTATTTGACTTCTTTTTCCATATTTATGATATGTTTTTATGTCTCCAAAACGTGTCTGTGAAGTTTCTGCTGAAAAACCCCATCAGGTTATTTATTATACCTTCTTGAACGTGAGGATTTTCAACTCCTAGTACACTGTAGCTGTTTTTGTTGTCTGTGCCTTTAAAGCAAACGAGCTGGTTCTCCCTGCCCACCATTTTCACATGCACGTCAAAGCCATAGAGACTGCTCGCTATTGCTCTAACTCATGTCTCCATTTTCTGCTGCGCCTCATGTCAGATATACAGCACAGTGACCGACAAGAATGAGAAATACTACAGTAAGAACTTATGGTATGGTATAACGATGCATTTGTTGTGGAGTTAATTAAAGTCTATCTGAAATGATGAGTAATCTCATTACAAATTTTGTGTGAAAGCACACACACTTAAATTTGCACTGGCATGGCAAATCTGACAGAATATATGTTAATATACACTGCTGTATGGATATACGTTATGTTAATGTACAAAATAAACCTGATTTAACGTCCACAAACTGGGAATGCGACTTATTTTATATTTGTACTGACTCTATGTGGCTGGAGTGATGAATTAGATTGTTGTCTTTATTAAAAACATGCGCTGTTTTAGATTTGTTTTGAACTTGTAAAACTCATTCTTGAGGTGCAGATGATCACAGAGAGCTGAACAGATCATGTAATCCCAGTTGCTTTGCACAAGTCCTGTCTTGTGGATATGTTTATATATGTTACAATGGAGACAGGTTAATATGCAGCTGTCAATCAATCCGGTGGCCGGGGAAACCGCACTTCTATGTCACGTTGCGGTGGGCCTCAAAATGAGAGGGATTTGGTTTCTATTTTAATGTCAGGGAATTAAAAAAAGAGACTTGTTGTCTATATATATATATATATATATATATATATATATATATATATATATATATATATATATATATATATATATATATATATATATATATATATATATATAAAAAACTGTGGACACACTATACATACACACAGTTCTGTCAAAACAGCTTACAAATGTTGATTTTCATCATAGTTGCCCTTTAAAAAGCTAAATGCTGTTAATTTTATTTGCAACTACTTTTAAAAAAAGGCACAGCAAAAAACAAAAAAAAAAACAAAAAACAAAAGGTTAAAAAACAAATTAAAAAAAGCCTTTTAAGTTTAAGAGTGAAAGGGATGATAAAAATGTGAGCGAAAAGCTACAGTATGCATATAGAGCAGAGGTGGGAGTAAGTCACATGTGCAAGTCACAAGCAAGTCTCAAGTCATAACCTTCAAGTCTCAAGCTAGTCAAGTCAATAAATTGTCAGACTCAAGTCAAGTCACTGCTTATTTCAAGTCAATCTAAAAATAAATAAATAAATAAATAAATATATATATATTTATATGCACGCACACACACACACACATTTGAAATGACACTTTCATCTCTGGCTTTCTGCTCAGGGGAATGTGTGTGCGTACTACAAAGTCATTAAAATATTATACTATTAATTAAACCCTAAATGACAAAATCAATCTTAAAGTGCACGCACATTTTTGGGGGACAAAAATTATTGAACCTTTAGATTCCAGATAATATTTATAGCCCATTTCACACATACATTACAGATCCATGGTCGGAAATGGTTTCTTGTTTTGCCAAACTTAGTTCTTCATTTTCCCCCCGATAAATTGTTTTTAAAAAGATGCAAGCAAGTAAAAAACAAACAAAAAAAACTGGAATATATCATTAACCAGATTCTTTTAATGCAATTTTTTTTTTTATTAAACTCAACCCCTAACATGTCAAAAACTTAAACATTAAATATTAGCATACAAACACAATACTATCAGTGCTTCTCACAGGTTTGAAATATACTTGAGTTGGTAGCCGGATTGAAACACACCATTTACCCACATCACATAAATAGTTTTCTATATGCGACAAACAAAACATATTTAATTTTTCATATTCAATATTTAAGCTAATGAAATATACAGCAAATGAGAAATAAATGACAGAAAAAGAAATAAAAACACAACATCTCTAAAAATATTCATAAATAATCATAATTTCAAAAATTAAACATGTAGATTACTTAAAGAAAGCAAGCATTAAGAAACCAGGCCGGACAAATTTTTTTAAGTCCCAAAAAAGACATGTCTTTGTGGGTCTGCAGTGCGGGGGTGCTGACAGTTCATGGGTGCACAGAACGAAATGAATCATTCAAATGAATCGTTCAAATGAATCTAATGAATCATTTAAAGTGGTTCTTAATGAACCGAATGATTAAGTCCAGCAAATTCCAAGTGGTGCTCGCTGCAGAGCCATTTGAGGAGAGCTGAGCTCCAGCGAGGGGGAGCTTAAGCTTGAGCTCCACCTTTTTTGCACTTCTTCTACGAGTGATGTCATTGGGGGTAGGGTTAGGGGTGGGGTTGGTGTACGCATTAAAACAGCTTACAGGAGGAGGAGCGACAGCTCATGCTCCCCCTCGCTGGAGCTCAGCTCTCCTCAAATGGCTCTGCAGCGAGCACCCTCTCGCAAATTCAACTGATTCTTTCGGACTGATCTGATACCGATGAGCTGTTATAACTGCGCATGCGTGACTTTCGGTTTTGTTTTGTTTTTAAATGCATAATGTATAACAAACGGTTGTGTATTTAACCAAAACAAGTTATTTTGAGTCATTTAAGTCAAGTCAACGTCAAGTCTCAAGTCATGACAGTCAAGTCCAGGTCAAGTCGAGTCTTTTTTGGATATTTGTCAAGCAAGTCATAAGTCCTTAGTTTTGTGACTTAAGTCTGACTCAAGTCCCCCATCTCTGATATAGATTATGAGGAAAAACTTACCTCGCTCAAACTGGAGTCTCTTATAATGTTGCATGACCTCACCAGCCACCATACACTCAATCTACAGCAGAGAAAACGAAAAAGAAAAATGAGCAAGACAATAGCAAATGACAGAGCAAGGAAGATAATCGAAAAACTTTCAACTCTGAAAACACCTCAATTATTTCTAGTCTTACTAATTTGAAGTGAGCTCACCTCATTCTCCAGCAAATGTCCTTGTTTTGGGCAGGTAGAATCTGGACAGCTAATAGCCGTTTCGAGGCCCTCTTTAATGAGCAGTTCAACATATTGCTTCAAACACTGTAAGAGACAGATTTTTTTTTTTGTCTTTCAAAAAATAATGAGACAACTGCTGTCTGTGGTTATGCATCCACCCACAAACGCTCTGCTCATTGTAGTCAAGCCAAACTCAAACCATAACAGCATTCAAGAGCTGCTTGTAAAACCGGCCAATTTGGCTTAAATCAAGACCTGAGAATGTGTATTAGATTAACTTGAATTTATCCATCAAAAATCAGAATGAAAGATCGATCACAAACAAAAAACAGAAGCATAAAAGTACCAGCTTCTGTATGTAAGGTTCATTAGCATTATAGCTGTACAGTACACATGTGAAGAGACTTTCATAACATATGGTATATACATAGTTGGAAAACACACAGGAATGGTCACTGAAGACACAGTCCTTACCAGACTGCAAAATATGCACTGGCACTGGGAGATGGTGGTCATCTGTTCCAGCGGAAACTCTCCCAGGCACAGTTTACAGGACAGGAGAGGTGCCAGGTCCACGTCCCAACTGGGTTCGTAGCGAGAGCTGCTCATGGTATGCAGATCTGGGACGCTAAGACAGACAGAATGCACATCTGATAAACAGGCAAAAACAAAGAAACACCACACAATATCACTTCTTATAAATAAAATACAATATTTGGATTTAGTTATCAATTCTAGTCTAACTTACAATAATACAAATTCATCTTAATTAATACAATTTATAAAACATTTAGATTTTAAGTTGGATTTTCAGTTCTTATTTGAATTTTAGCAATTCTGTGGTGTAAATGATCATTTCAATAATTATGCTTAGTTTTATTTATTGTTTCAGATTTAATAATTTTAGTTCTAAAACCTTTTGTGTTGACAAGGCTGTATTTCAATTACTGAAAACAATTAGGTAGGGCTGGGCGATTTAGCCTAAAAATCTAAATCTCAATTAATTGAACATTTTAACTCGATTGCGATTAATGAACGATTATTTATTTATTAATTTTTTTTGTGCTCTCATAGTTCACAAACACGTTTTGGACAGTAAATATGCTCACATAGTACAAGTGAGAGATGTTTGAATGAAGGTTGCATTACATGATTTTAAAATAACTGAGGGAAACACACACTATCTAAGAATGACTCGTCCTACTTGACCAGAGATCAGATGTGGCTTCAAAGTGAATGCAGAAGTATAAACCAGCCTTAACTAAATACTCAATTCTTATAAATTAAACAAAACTACATTTTACCCTTACTTAAAGAAGTGGTCCACTACGATATCATGTTTTAAACCTTGATGTGAAATGTACATGTGTGAACATAAACAACATCTCCGAATATAATATGCTCAAAGTTCCATGCAAAGGAAGACATTGGCTTTTACATAGTTAGCTTAGCAAAGCCTACAGCGAACAAATTTGGGGACTACAAAAATATATGTCCGGGTCATTGAGATCACAATCGCTTCAGATTATGCGCATTCACTACGCGCATAGTACAAGAGGCATGGTAATGTTATAGCAGAGAAAGCTAAAAGTCAGTCTAATCGCTGCTATTTCCACAGAGCTTGTTCTGTTTCTGTATTTGGGCTTCCAAAGCACACAACACAAAGACAGAAGTGCTTACAATTTCATTTTAATTATGTTCCAGAGAATTATAAAAAAAGATATAGGTAGCATTTGACAAAGAACAGTGCTGGATTCGGCTAAAAACTCCTCAAAGAAGGAGCAGCTCCAACCATAATAGTCGAAGCTGTAGATTGTGAGCCACAACCTATAAGTATTTTTATTTGTTAAAATTGATCTATGACATGCACAGTGTCTAGTGTTAATGGTATGTTGTAGAAAAGGCATAAACAAGGATGTAAACAATGTGAAATGCTGTTTAACATCTTACACATTTTAACTACAAATTCATATTTATCCGTCAAATTGCTGTAAACACCCACAACCTTCAGCAAAGCTGCAGTGTCTCTCTGTGCGCCACTTTCCATGCGTTCTAAATCTCAAATGACACATTCGGAAAAGATATGTGAATGTCTTATATTACTTACACATGCTTATAACATTAATATGTAAATTACAGATTTTATTTTAGAGAGCAGGTGTGAGGTCCAGCTGTGTCCTCTTCATGTTGTCTTATTCAGGCTAAAATTGCTACAGCTAACAGCTACACTGACTGACAGTGTTTACACAGTGCAAAAGCACGTGCTTGTAGGGCCATGACGTGGTGACGAGGAGCTGATTCATAAATCACAGCACATTCTGTTAGCTGACCAATTAGAGCCTTTTGAGGGCGGGCCTTTCAGTGGAACTAAGAAATATGACAGTCGTTTTGAAGTTAGCGGAGTAGCTATATATATTCAAAGTAAGATATATAAAAAAATAACCAGTTTTTTTTTTTTTTTTTTTTTTTTTTTTTTTTTTTTACAAATGTACCATGAGCACACATTGCTTTTTATCTTATAAACACAAAAAAGCCTAAAAAATGTACTCTGGACCAATCCCTTAAAAAAAAAAAAAAAAAAAAAAAAAAAAAAGACACTTGACCTTTAACTATGAATCCAAAAATTTGGGCTTGCCTATCTCTAGCTATAAAGTATTTGGTCTACCATGGAGTTTTCCTTCTGAGAGCTTCTGCTGTTTGCTGACCAATTAGAGCCTTTTGAGGGCGGGCCTTTCAGAGGAACTAAGAAATATGACAGTCGTTTTGAAGTTAGCGGAGTAGCTATATATATTCAAAGTAAGATATATGAAAAAATAACCAGTTTTTTTTTTTTTTTTTTTTTTACAAATGTACCATGAGCACACATTGCTTTTTATCTTATAAACACAAACAAGCCTAAAAAATTTACTCTGGATCAATCCCTTAAAAAAAAAAAAAAAAAGACACTTGACCTTTAACTATGAATACAAAAATTTGGGCTTGGCTATCTCTAGCTATAAAGTATTTGGTCTACCATGGAGTTTTCCTTCTGAGAGCTTCTGCTGTTTGCTGAGAGCTTGTCCAATCAGTAAAAGTATGTCAATATACCCTCAGTACTGCTGCCAGGCAACTCAAAGAAAACTAATGACTGTCTCTACTGGAGAGCTCAACATAACAAACTCCCTAAGAGAGTACGAGAAACAAAGCAGCCTGCTGAAAACAAACAAACTTCAGGCTGTATGTGTCAACTTCCAAACGCACCTTCACAACGTGGTACAGCAAAACTTTTGCCACCCAAAGTTGCAAAAAAGTAACATGATCCATTACACCACAATACAAACCATCAAGAGGTGAAAATAATAAATTGAGGAGCCTTCAGATGGCGTAGTTAGTCGACTTCCCCACAGTCGTAGGTGGAGACAGATGGAGTTTCTTGTGCTTGTGCTTGCAGGATCTCATTGTGTTAGTGATGGGAATACACGACAGCGTAAACAGCAAATGGCTCTTAGCAGGCTGTGCGTCTCTCTGTTTGAGGCTCTCATCTCAGTCAGCACACCCACACAGCCATAACCAGATGCAGGAACTCTCTATCATATGTAAAGCCATGTGTACATGGCGAGATTCTTCTGTTCTTATTGATTGTCAAGAGGCAGACTGTTCGAAATCAAAATCTTGGTCTTGACTCTGAACAGAAGCAAAGTCTTACTGATCAACATTGCATTCCTCGGAAAACACTTGCAATCTAGAAGCAGTCACCTTATGCTTATGATGCGGTACAGTCTGTAAACTCCGCCCATTAAAATAACGGCTTTATCTTTAACCTGTAAAATCGCGACGATATTTATTTATTGATCGTGGGACATAAATACCGTTATCGTGATAATAATACAATTAATTGTGCAGCCCTACGCTGCATAAAACATATGCTGGATAAGTTGGTGGTTCATTCCACTGTGGCGAATCCAAATGAATAGAGGGACTAGGCCGAAAAGAAAATGAATGAATGAATAGTACTCTAGTCAAACCATACCCTCAAATGCACAAAGAGCACTTGTGAGTCATGTAAGTTGACGAGATTAATGTAAATACAGCTCACTATGAACACATAAGCTGCTTAAACCTACCTAAAATAATGTTTAACACCATTAGAAAAGGTTTAAGTGGTATTTGTAAAGAAATTGATGCAAGCAAAGTATCAGTTAACTGTAAAGCATACAGTGCCACTTGCTGGTACAAAAATCTGCAGTAAAAAAACTATGCTTGATTCATTAGAGAATTCTAAACAAAACATCTCATAATCTATTTGAATCAGTGCTGAACAAGTAATGAAACTAATGAAATATGACCAAGTGGCAAGACATGTTTATGCGGCTAGATCAAAAAGTCATTTTTGCAAATACAGATACAGAAAATACACACTTTAATACCTAAAACAAATAAATAGAAAAAAAGCATTCTACTTCTACCATTAGAAATATAGGAGGTTTAAAAGCATCATTTAGGGGGAAACGCTTTAAAAAGGAACAAATGATCGAAAACAAAAGATGTTTACCACAGAGTTTGCCTAAATTGAAGGGGAAATCCCAGGCCTACAGTATAAACCTTCATTGTTCTTTCATGCAGACAAATAACCACATTTAGAGCTCTTTCCTTTAAATAAAAAGAACAGGAGGGGAAATACCCTATATATTTAGTTCTCAGACGGCAGTTTGGCACAATGACCCTCTCATAGAGTCCAAGGTACAGATAGAGAATTTCCAGCAGCCTGACACTGTAAATGAACTTCTTTATCTGCTAATGGAGGTTAACAGTCTGAACTACAGTAGCTCTAAAGCACAGTTTCTCATCAAATCAATTTTATTAAATAATAATAATAAAAAAAAGAACCTGGGGGACCAGAAGTGACAAGATAGCTTTCATCATGGGCACAAAGCACAAGTATGAATAAAATTACATAACAAATTACATAAGATCTATTTTTAATCTATCTAGGTTAAATCCAATTTAAGCTGTTCTCTACTGTTGCTCCAACTGTCTCTTGTGATTGTGGTAGAAATGGCTTGGCTTAGTCAAGACCTTTCCTTGAATTATTATATAGATATTCTCACTTATAAATGAAGATAATAAGTAAAAATTCAAGTATGAGTACTTCAAAAGCACAAGTATACCCACTCGCAGATAGTACCTCTCTGTTATTGTCTTGCTATCTGTTTCTGCATCAAACTATTTTTCTCTGCAGTTTAAATAAGCCTGCGAGTGTTCAGATCGCACCCTTGCCTCTGGCAGGTCTGCAGATTTGTGTCAGCCACAATACTGAAATCCCTGAACAACCTAATTGCTTAATTGGATTACATTACGAGGGTGGAGTATGTGAACACTAAAACAAGCATGAATGTGTTAGTCAGACATGTTGGAATGAGAAAAGGGACTGATTCATGTTAACTCAATAAATAAGGGCTTTTACAGAAGCTGGACATAAAACTACATTTTGGACACAAAAATAAAATATGCTGCAAATGTTCTCAATTACTGAACTCACAGCACTGTTCTGAGCCTGATCTTAAAAGTGCAGCTCCAGTGTAAGCAGCTGAAAACCAACTCATTGAAATGTATAAATTAGGGCTGCACAACACTGGAAAATACACATTG